TCCCAAACCGCTTTGTTCTCATCCACTGATCCACTGTTGTCGTGGTTGTTCTCATTCTGCATGTTAGAGTTCAGACTCGAGGGACATGAGTCCTCCATTGCTTCATTTCCCAGAACTGCTCCACACAGACTACTCTGAATGAGCGGGTTACTCACTGCCCTCAAGCATGTGTTAGGCTTTTGCACTTCAGAACCTTGCTCAAGCCTGAACGGTCTCGCTTCTCATGCCTTCTCTCACACCACCTTTTGAAGACCACTACAAGTCTGAAAAGTTGTTATCCCCTCACTTATACCATTCATTCCTGTAGCTTTTCATAAAAAAATGGGTTGGAGACATATTTTGTACTAACAGTAGTTCTGGGGCTTATGGAGGCCAAGACGAATGAAGAGAATCTGCCTCAGGAGTTGACAGTGCCCTTGGGGAGACAGAGGATAATACATTTAACATTTAGGTAAAACGACCTGAAATTTGTGTGAAGGGTCATGAGATCAAAGAGCACACAGCTCTGAGTCAGAATGATGAGCTAAGATGGGTCCTAATTTAGACGGGAGCACCTAATGTATGTAGAGGTAAGGAAGTCATTTCTAAGGAATTCACATTTAAGCTGAGACCCCCAGAGAATGAAAAATAGCCCACTAAGGAAAGTGTGGTATATTGGGAGAGGAGCCTTCTAAGTAGAACCAACAGCATTTCAAAGGCCCGAGGCAATAAGGAGGTTGGAAATACCAAAGGAAAAACAGAACTGGGCAGAGGCCCTGAGGATGGTGCATCGTAAGCCAGGTGAGTGTGGCGCCGCCTGAGGTTGATGGGCAGGGCCAAATGAGGCGCAGGCGCTGAAGGCCATGAGAAGGAGTGTGGTTTTAAGTGCAATGGGAAGCAATTGAAGTGTTTTAAGCAAAGGCGTGACATGATCTTATTTGAAGTTGAGACTGCCATCTGTTCATTAAAATCCACTTGTCTCTTCTCCCTGGGCACCCAGCCAGATTCCATTTCCTGGTTCTCTTTGCAGTGGGCTTGGAGCTGTGTGACTGTATCTTATGCATGGAAGTAAATGGTAGTGGTAAATAGCTACATGGTGAGTGGTGGTGAATAGCCCCACGACTCGGACTAGCTCATAAAAACCTCCTGTGGGGGCTTCCTCATGCTGTTTGCCTTCTGACTGGGCAAACTTGGGAGCCCCTCTTGAAATGGTAGAGCCACTTTCAGCATGGACACCTGCATGGCTGTGTGGAACAGAACCCCTTCCCAGCTGACCTAGAACTATCCTGAGCTTTTATGTGAGCAAGAACAAAGCGCCTTATGTGTTGAGCTATTACACATCCTGCTCATTTGTTACCACATTCTCATTTGTCTAAAATAATATGATAGCTTACAAGAGCCATTTTGGCTTCTGTGCTATAGGAGAATGTGAGACAGTGTGGACAATAGCAGTGGCCAAAGTGAAGTCCCCATGGAGACTAGCGATATTTCAGTTGGAATAGATTTTAAGTCATTTTGGATGTAGAATGAACAGCTCCTACTGACAATGTGGTGTGTGTGTAGTAAACTTGTGGGGGAAAAAAAATCTCACTTGATTTGAGTCTCAAGGGCGGTATCACTTACTTTTTGGACTTTCTGTAACGTACCTCACTGAATACCAGTAGGTATATATTTTGTTTATTTGATTAGATTACCCTAAACTAGAGGGCAAACAAACCATATCTTTGAGAAGCTTTTATTTACTGTTGTGTCTAGAATGGTGTTTTATTTATTTAATTTTTTTATCATATATATTTTCTTAATTAAAATTGTTATTTTGAGATAATTTTAGATTCACACACAATTTTAAGAAGTAATACAGAGATAGCCCCTATACTTTTTTTTGTGTGGTTTTTGATGTAGTGTTCCATGATTCATTATTTGCGTATAACACCCAGTGCTCCATGCAATGCGCACCCTCCTTAATACCCGTCACCAGGCTAACCCATCCCCCCACCCCCTCCCCTCTAGATCCCTCAGTTTGTTTCTCAGAGTTAGTATGGTGCTTTAGATCAGGTACTTTTTAAATTAAGCTTTGCTTAAATTAATGAATAAAAGGGTAGGCTCTTAGATTTTTTGACCATGGAGTTGTCGAGGGTCATGTGACCCAGCATTGCCTTGCCATTGATATCACCTCAGCTTAGCTTAAATTTTCATTGCCTTCTAAGGGAGAGGCTTAGCTGTGTTAAATTTTTGTGTTACCTGTGTTTGCCCAGTCATAATGGAAACAGCCTAAGGAAGCCCACATGGGAGGATTTATTGAGCTAGCCCTATTCTTGGTATTCACCACTACCACTTACTTCCCTGGGTAGGATACAGTAACACGGTTCACAGCCAACTGCAAAAAGAGAGCCAGGAAATGGAATCTGGCTTGGTGGGGAAAGTAATATCATGGGGCCTGGGATTTGAATATTTGCAATAGAAGGTATGTAGAAATGTTTTTTAAAGGCATGTGAGCTAATCCTCACTGCCTCCCCATCACTTTCAAGTGTCCACACTAGCCATTGCCCAGTGCTCAGAGTTGCTTCATTGACCACTGTTTCCATCAACAGTTAGGCACTCATCTGGGAGAAACATTATGATTTATGGGAAGTCTCAAGATGGGAGGCAGTTTCTGTAATCCAGATGAGCAATGATGAGGTCCGTAACTAAGGAAGTGGTGGTGGAAATAGAAGGATGGGGTAAGAAAGTAAGAAACTTTATAGAACATGGTGACTGGATGGATTTGGTGCAAAGAAAAGACTAGAATAAAAATGAATAAGCCCCATGCTGATAAACCTCAGTTTATAAACTTAAATGTATATCAACAGACCACTGTTTTCAAGATAAAGCCAGTTAATACTTTAATACTGCTACCACCAATGGATGGCATGAGTGATGAGCGTGGACATTTAAGCCTTGGACATGGTACTGTTTGTGCTTAGTTTGGATGTGTTTTATGAACGTTATTAAACCATACATGCTTGAGAGGGGCAAAAACAGTGATGTTGAAATTACTGGTTAAAAGAGATAGACGAATAGGACACCAATGCTAAAGAGATTAAAATGACAACTAGAAAGCATGAGAAAAATGTTGGAAATTACATTTGTAGAGGAGATCCATTGACAGTAGGAACAGCTCTGAAGGGTAAAGATTAATCAGGCCCCTTGTAAAAAACACTGCATTTCACGGTACAGGAGTAGGGGAAGAGTGATTGACCAGATGAGAAAACAGCTCCAAATATGGGAGTTAGGTCTCGGAGGTCAGCATGAGTATCCAATGCCCATCAGCTCAGTGTTCTTTTTAGTGAAGGCTAGAAGTTTCTTCAAGAGGGTAAGGACTAAGCATGGTGAAGGAGCAGTGGCGATGTTTTCTCGTGAGCCATGGTCACATAAAGTCAAGGGCTGTTTGTGCAGAGCATCAGGGGGATGATGGGAACACCCTAGCTTCCAAGACTTCCTCATGAAGCTTACACAGGGGAAGGAGGGCATAGAGCATGCCAGGTGGAAGAAGTCAGAATGGAAACCAGGGAACAGATTTGAATGCAATAGAAAAGCTACAGTCAGGCATATTTGCTGTAAACAAATGCCATTTGGGAAGGTGTACCTACCTTTCATGTCTCTGTTGCTCAACAGAGAGTGGTGGAACTGTTAGAGCGACAGCTAGAAGGGATGAGCATCCCCAAGGCCCAGCCCATGTTTCATGAGAGCCAGTGATCTTGTATTTGAAAATGGAGAATAAGCCAAGGGCCTCAGAAGAAAAATATGACTTACTTCTAGATCCAATGTGTATTTCCAAAATAATTACAATTCCCACACTAACACAAGTTACTTCTTCAACTTTATCTTCAAATAAAAGCACAGAAATTTAAATTAATACTACATATTAATGCATGACCTTTAAATTAGAAATATGAGCTGTAACTAGTTGACTGTAATGTGGACTTGATACCTAATGAGGAGCCAATTTCAGACAAAAACCATCATTTCTATCCAGCTCTAGTACTGAATATAGTCCTGGTATTTTCTAAATAAAAGAGGAAACCGTCAGAAAAAGACTCTAAATATTAGTGAGGTAGAAGGCAATGAATGCAAGCATAACTTTTTTAGTATGGAAGGATGAGGCTTGAGGAGGGAAAAATAATGTATAAAATCATCAAGTGTTCGTTTAAGATAGGACAAATATGAGTGAGTTCTTCAAATTAATAAATATTGGAAATGTAGCGTTTCCACTGAAGCTTAAAGAGGCTTTTTATTTTTTATTTATTTATTTATTTATTTATTTTTATTTTTTTAAAGATTTTATTTATTTATTTGACAGAGAGAGACACAGCGAAAGAGGGAACACAAGCAGGGGGAGTGGGAGAGGGAGAAGCAGGCCTCCCGCAGAGCAGGGAGCCTGATGCCAATGCGGGGCTCCATCCCAGGACCCTGGAATCATGACCTGAGCTGAAGGCAGAAGCTTAACGACTGAGCCACTCAGGCGCCCCTAAAGAGGCTTTTTAAAGGAACTCATTCTTCTCATACCATAGTGGTATGGAAGGAAAATGTAAATGAGTTAAAAAAAATACTAACCATGCGTGGGCAGCAGCTCCACAATGGATGATTGTGGGATATTGGAGATGTTTCTTGAGTTTATTTCCCCTATAAGATTTCTTTTAGAGATAAAATGCCAAGTAGAATATATAAATGCATCTTTTATATATAAAAACAAATATATAAAAAACATCTTTTGCAGTCTAATGAAATGATACATTGTGTAATTTTCTTATTCCTACCCTGTGTAAAGTTCTTATTATACTTTAATGAATTATTTTATTCCTACCATTTACGAATTTCTATCTTATATGAATTACTTAACCACATTAAATTTATAGCCAAAAGTGGAAAGAAAAAGCATGAGTTTTCACAAATTATATTCTTGCCATTTAAAAAGGTACTTGTGAGCTAAAGATGACAGATATTTCTTTTTTTAAAATTAACACATTTTATGCTTTCTCTAGGCTGGAATGATAAAAAGTGATGATGAGGAGTATTTCATTGAACCTTTGGAAAGAGGTAAGCAGATGGAGGAAAAAAATGGAAGGATTCATGTTGTCTACAAGAGATCAGCAGTAGAACGGGCTCCCGTAAACATGTCCCACGACTGCCAATACAGAGGTAGGCATCTTTGACAAGGCTTAATAATTAACCATAATTTTAAGATATGATGAAAACAACTCTCCCAATCAGTTAAGAGAGTGTTATAGTCATGTGTTCTTGCATAATATGGAGATAGTGAAAGAAGTTTATAAATCATGAAATATGGCCCGCCTTTTTTTTAAACCCATAGCAGAATATAGTATTATTGATATTATTTTATTCCAGTGCAATATGGTGTGCCCAGTATGTTTGCAATTTATGACTTCTATTAAAGTTTCACATTAAAATTATCTTTTCTCTCACTTCTGTTAAAACTTGAAGATATTTTTGTTTTCTAGAAGTATCTAAATTATGAGTTATTAGTATTATTTACAAACTTCTAAAATGAGATATATTGACATGGCAAAGAGGTAGATATGTGATTGACACATTTGAAAATAAGAATGATATTTGACTTTAAGGTCTATTTTGCAAACCTTTTTACAATATAGGAGAGAGAATGAGTTGAATGATTCTGCCAAATTTTATTTCAAAATAGGCTGGATCACTAAAGTCAATTAAATTATGGCATGTGAAGCTTTTCTAGTTTTGTGTGTTTTAATGAAATCTGAAAGTAATTTGTTATTAAAGAGATGTTTTTATAAGTTGGGTATAGAAGTTCCCTTTACGGAAAAGAAAGGAAATTGGAGAATCTGTGTTTTTTTAACCAAATTTCAAAAAGTCTATATTTCCTTTTGTCAGGCCAACTATCTGAATTAGAGGTAATAGAAATTTCCCCCAGGGAAAATGTCAGGAATATAAATAATCTTCTTAATTTAACAATCTAGATTCTTGATTCATGATACCTTGCCTCCTGAGAGTTGTTACCAAGTTTGATTTTCAGATACGTTTCCCTTAATATGCCAAACTGATGGAATAGTACAATTTAAAATAAATTTAAAATGAACTCGGCCTGAAGAGTTTTTGAGAAATTTCTGATTTGAAGCAACAGCACTGAATTAATAGATACAGTACTATGAAATGTGTGCCTATCCTAGAGGGTCACTGTGGTGTAATCAGAAGAGAGTAGTACACTGTGCATTTAGACAGATGCGAATAATAGCTTTAAAACATCAACTTGTTCTGTTACCTTAGATTAGTAGTTAACCTTTCTGAGCCTCAGTTTATCTGTGAATAAAGGGTTAAAATACTTTGCACAATTATAAGAAGTCTTGGAAATAATATATGCAAATTGTGGACTGTAACCCTCAGCAATAGTAGATGGTTAACCAGTGCTAGCTGTTGTTATTGCTATTAATTATTAATGTTACTTATTTTGTACAAAGATTTACATGTTAGGAGCTTAAAGTTGAACAGTTAGGCATTGCTTGCCTTCATGTTGTGAATACATTCCTATTAGCTCTCATTCATATTTTCATGTTTTAAAAATGTCATTCTAAATCAGAACACTGGTTATGTCAAGGGATAGATAATAGGATACAGTACTTTTTCTATAGTTTAGTTAATGATATCTAATAGCTTTTGTGAGGCAGTGGTTAAATATCTTTTAGAAAAGCGTAGCCCACATGTTATAGAATTGTAGTTGAGGACTGGAACGTCCTTAATACGTAAGTCACTATGACTTTCCTCCCAGTTGCTCCTTCCGTCATACCAGTAGTCTCACCAAGCTGTACTCTGTTGCTCCATTTCAGTCCCTGAGGGTATCCATTTCTATAAATATCAGTCCTGGTACTTTTTAGTAGTCTAATATTTACAGAGAAGAAGAGATTTTTTCAATTGAAATAAGAAAATTGTGAGAAATACTATGTTTAATACCGATTGTATTTTTAGACACTAGATTAAGAAAAATAATTTAGTAGTCAGAGCATATAAATTTATAAGAATTAGATGAGATTAAGGCAATTTTGGACATTAATTTAGGAAATTATTTAAAATATCAAGTAGCATCAGCCTCAGCTTACTCTGATTTTATAATGAGTTGTTTTTAAGAATGCAGACACTGAAGACTTTATTTTTAATTTTTCAATTGTGAAAAGAAGATTAATTTATAGTTGAAGTAAGCCATAAAATACATTTTGGAAAGGTTTTCAGCAATTATCGGTCACAGGAGGAGGGGTTCCTTTCTTAATTCATGATTACTTTAAAACTTGACCCAATATATAACATATGTTCCATGATAAACTTTAGTATGAGCATAACAACTTTTATTTTCTTACTTAAGAGGTTCTGATTGAACTGAGTTGCTAGTGATTATCAATTTACTTCCTTTTGAGAATCTTAAATTATAACCATATATTTCAGAAATGTAAATTGTCTTCTTAGGGTAAAAGATTCAGATTCAGAACTTTAAGTACTATACTTTAACTTTAAAATTCTTCTTTTAACTTCGTGGTCACATGACTGAGAGCCATGCTTTTTCATGGGCTACATACTTTCCAACCGAAATTAAGAATATATTTTTATACCTTATTCCATCATTCTCAGATGTAGAACTGAACAGATTCTAGGTTTAGAAGGAATATTGATTTATACATGAAAGCTATAGTATCATATAAAATAGTGCTTTGTCTGGATCAACTCAGGATATTATTTTAGGAGCCACATGCAGTCTTTCTTCAACAAGTTATTAGAAGAGGATTAAAATACATAACATGTACTTAGAAATGCATTTGAGGGACATGCTCTTCATAAATTTCTCTGACAGCAAGTCATCAGGAGTCGTTATCATAAATAAAGCACTTCTCACCCAACAAGAGTTTCAGCATTAGGGCCCCTATAAATAAACATCCTGCTGTATTTTGCTAGTTGTCTCCATAATTGCCTGGCCACATGTGTTGCTTTGTCAGCTTAGCAACTCAGAACTGACATTCATTTAGTTTCCATAGTTTGGAGCAAATATGCTAAATTAAAACCAATTATGTTCTGAACTAAGTGATACAAGTGAGACGGAGAGAAGGAGCCAAATTGGATTGAGACTGAAGTAGAACTGATGGGGTTATTTGATGTGGTATATATTGGGGGTGGAGAGAGAGAGTGAACAAGGATGACTCAGAATCCTGATCTGAAAGACTAGAGGATTCTCTTTCCAGAATTCAGGTATTTAAAATGAAAAATGGAAATAGGCTGGATGGAGGATGACAAGTGGGTGTAATTTTGGATATTTGAGTTCAAAGATCCACTGGAAAAGTGAATGAATAAAAAAATGCACAGTATATTTTCATAATCATGTGTCAGAGTCAATGAATGAATGCCCTTATATACATGTTGGGGTAGGGATGGGTAAAGGTTAGCTTGGAGTCAGGGGACAGGTATTGGCTCGTGGATGCATGGAATGTCTCTGCTTGCCTTCTACTCTCTCTTTTCCAAATTCATATCAATGAGAATCAGAAGGTGTTCCTTGCACAGAGTTGGAAGCCCGTGAAAGATATTTGCTACCTATCACTATAGAAGAGGAGGACATTGTGTCCTCAAAACACAAAAACAAAACTAAACGTAAAGCAGAAAATATGCTTCTACCACACTCAGGAGCCCTAAGCTATTCCACTTGATGAAAAGCAAACATCTATTTTGATTCCTTATCCTCTTAAAATATTTATCTGGGTTTCCAATAAAAGTCACTCACAGCTTTGAACTTGTTGAGATAATATATGCTGTGATTCAACAATAACACAAACCTGCAACCATTTCCATATATTACATAGATTCTCTTTCCTCACCTCTTCATAAGGAAGTTGTATTGTTTTTTGAAATGTGGAAAAATGTGAAGAACTGTTTAAAAATATATTGAACTTGTAAAATCACAGATGCAGTACTCTGCTTTAGAATTACTCTAAGACCTAAAACAGTTTTACGTTTGGCAGTGTAAATAATCTCTTCCAATGTAGAACTGGCAGGTGTTTATAACACCTAGTACTGCCAGTTTCTAGCAAAGAAATACCATCCTTTCATCATAAACTGTTCATGCTTATGATAAAAAACTTGTCAAAAGAACCCTTATCTACTTCATCATGGGGGGAGAGTTGAATTTCACTTTTTTTTCTTTTTGATTTCTGCTTTGGGAGGATGGGAATCACATCCATTTCTGGACATTCAGTTTGGACAAAACAAGTTTATATTTTACTGGTTTTTGAAATTTTATTTGGTAACAACATGGTTAATCAACCAATAAAGAGTCATAAAGTTCACCTCCACTGTTAAATCAATCATCTGAGTCTAAACTTAGATGAAAAACAAAACATACCCCTGACCATCTCTGAAGAATGTCTACATTGTCGCCCATAAGAAGTTTGCTTTAGGCAGTCTATTTTGGGGGGAAGGGGGAGCTGTGCTTGGATGACATCATTCAGCTTTTCATATTTTTTATTTAATCCCCTAGGCCCTTAAGCTTCTCCCATCAAATTACGAACTATTCACTCACCAGAAGCTTTGTGTTAAAGTAATTTTTGTAATTACTTCCTACCAGTGGGAAACAAGGAATAGTAAGCCTTTATCTCCTAGCTTCCTTTCAGGATTTTCATTTTCCTGCACGAACCCAAGCGCTTGTGTTGCTGGTGTGGTTGTCATGGTGCTGTGAAGGAGTGTCTTTGTCCCAGGTGGGAAACATGTACAAGTCAGAAATGATTTGGGAGTTGCTCCTGGTTGCCAGGGAATGAAACTATGAAACAAGCACTAGAATAATGGGAAGACTATTTCTTATTTTAGTGACTCTAGGAACTTCCTAGGCAGAGCCCTTCCTTGAATCTATAGAAAAGTCAGTAGGTGCTATAACCTATTGTATTTGGAAGTTCTCATGACCTATGCCCCCGTCAAAGAGAAACAGTAGTGGGCTTTGCAAGACACAAAAAAAGAAAAAAAATCAAATGAGAGAAATTAATTTTTGCATCTTTTCTTGTTAAAGTGAGGCATGAAGCAATATTACTAAATTATTAAGATCTGTCAAATAGCAGCCATTCTTTTAGGTAGATGTTAAATGATAAATTTTACTCATTTTTACTCAGCTGCACAGTTTAGTTTATAAT